CTGCTTGCAGCAGCACTGACACAGGCTGATGTAGATTTTTTCCTCTCCCCAGTGTGATTTATTCCTCACTGCTTAAGAACAGTAAATGGTATCAAGTTCGCTTGCCTTTCTAGACACAAGGACCTTTCTCCTGTACACATGGCAAAATTATGTAGAGCCACTCAGTTCTTTCCTAGAACACATTCCAGGAGAACAGATTTTTCATCACTGAAAGGGAGCAGAGATGTGTACTTCTACAGTCTGACTTAGATCCCTGGCTGAAGTCAACAAATCACTTAAATCACCTGAGGATCTAGCTACTTCAGTGAGATTACTGAGTGACTTCAGTACACTAAAATTCTGTGCTATGCTTCAGGGCCAAGCAAGCCAGCTGGGTTCCAGAACTAACACAGGCTGCACCATCTCTATTGAGTCCTATCTGCCACTACCTCTCTCCCCCCTCTATCTTCAGAGCCCAGCTCCTGCACTCCTCTGGCTTCTGTTCACCATTGGTACACACTTTTAAGTCAGTGTGGGAGGGACTTATTCACATTCAAAAGCTTCTCTCCCCTCATTTCACAGCATGGAAGCTAAACATATTCTTTCTGAAGGAACACCCCTTCTTTGCTGACCCCTCGTACAGCTACTGCAGTCATTCTGGACTTACACCTTTTCCAAGGCATTGGCTTGCTTTCCCCCTGAGTCTCCATTCCCAGGTTAAATAAGTAGACAATCACCCTTGTTCAAACAAAGGCTGACATTTGGTGACCTCCCTGAACGATTGTGGAGCTGAGATAAAGACAACTTCTTGCACCACTTAACAAGAAGCCAGTCTGCTAGAATCAGCTTTGCAAAGGATTGCAGTGCAAAGCTTCCTCTCTTTTGGCTAGGAAGGAGTATCTGCCTGCATATAGAAATACCTTCAATAATGACTACCACTTGAAGGGCTAAAGAGAACCTGACCAGATCAACTCGGTGTGGCAGTCCCTCCTCCCCTAACAAACATTAATAAAATTCTGACAGGGATTCCCCAAACAGCTGCATGAAGGGGGAGGCAGAAGAAAAGCTCACACACCTTGGAACATTTAATGAGTTTTTAAGTGGTCTATTTCTTTATCAGGAATTATTCTCTGCCAATTTCTTAACTTGAAAGCTACCCAACACACATTGCCATTTTAAAAGTACAGTATTTTGCAAGAGGAATAATAGAAATCAGTCAAAACCCGTAACAGGTCAAAACCTATAAAAAACACTTGAACTTGTCAACTGGCACAGGACCAGGAAAGGGATTACACTACTGGACAACTGTCACAGATGGAGGCCCAAGTTTTCAGAAGTAATTTTGGACTACCTTTTAGATGCCTGAATCAGAAAGTCAGAAAGACAATTTGAAAACTGCTTTTAAGAAGATGTTTAAGAAAAGCCAAAGATGGATTTGAAGAGATGGAGCAATACCAGACTACTAATCAGAATAAAGAAAACAAAAGATAACCACTCGAAAGTGAGAGCACATTCCCCATTCCTCTAGTGTTGCATTGCAGGAAGTTGTTCAGCAAATTAAAAATTAATTTCTGTATGCAGACTGATTTAGTATCGAATATGCAAAAAGAATTTATACTGGTCTATGGCTTTATGATGCTACATAGCTACATTCATTTTTGCAGAAGAGGTAACTTGAATCCTTTGGGAAGAATTATCCTCTTGATTTAAGCACATAACTCAGATTAATTGGATTTGCATATGTATAATAGTAGGGAGAATAACCCTCAGTTTGGAAAACAGCTTGGTATTTTAATCGGTCTGGGAACATCAGCAGAAAAAAAACCATATCAGGAAAAACTAATCGAACAGCATTAGTCAACTCATGCTAGGTAATAATTGTGAGTTAATTGATCAATATTATAAACAAACATAATAAACTGGAATGTTTCGGAAAATCAAACAAAGCAGAATTGTGAGTATAATCAAAATACAAGGGGAGGTAGAAGCTGCACTGTTAATCACTTATAAATTCTGTTTTTTTAAAAAACTCAGACCAAATATGTGCTATACCCAAATTGTGTAATTGACTCTGTGTATGCAATCTCTCAGTTGTTCAACAATACAGATAACAGCACTAATGGTATAATTATGACTTACAGCTGAAGTAGATAAAAACCTGATAGTTCTTAACTAGTGGTTGTAATTAAGAGTGGAGAAGAGCAGCATTCACTGCATCTGGTTATGGTTCATTAATAAAAGTGGATTTTCACTTCCAATACAGCAAAGCAGCTGCATGTGCACCACGCTCTGACCATGTCCTGACAGGAGACAATGACTGGGGAACGCAGCTTGACTAGTACCAGCTGTAGGAAAAATAGCTCTGTAAGCAGCGGTTGAGCAGCAGCTGTAGATATGGAATGCACCAAATGGAAAGCAAGCAATAAGCATGTAAGGAAGAGGCTTTTTCCTGCGCCCCAAGCGTCACTTCAGTTCCGACTGCATCCGTGGGTTGAAGAAACGGCTTTACTTCCTTCCTACCGCCTTCCCCTTGCGCGGGCAAAGAAATACACACACCCCTGTGCTCACATGGACTGCGAGGCAGAAAAAGGCAAGGCGGGACACGCAGCCTCCACCCCCGGCGGAGCGGCTTCAGCACCTGGGGCGGCGGACAGCGCCTGCGGGCTCCCGGGCGGCCCCTGCGCCTGCAGGGCACCGGGACACCGGGAGCGACCGGGCACCCTCCGTGGCACAGCAGCAACCACACCAGCAACGGAACTGCAAATGGAAACCTGGTCGGTTTAGAAACAGGGTGGTATTTTTCCCCACGCATAGGGCTAAAAAAATAAATTCAAGAACACTGCGCCTCATAAACAATTAGATTCAAAAAGAAACCCTGGGCTGCACGGTATTATCAAGTATGAGCAAAAGGGGCTAAACACATTTTTTAATGCCTTTTCCTGAGACTGGAGAGTTCTCAAACCCAGGTGGCTTGGTTTGAGCTTTCTTAGCAAACAGAAGCATAAACCCAACAGCTCAGAAATGAAGTGGGTATCAGTGGCACGTTTCACTTGCTTTTTGGCTCACTCACTCAATACTGGTTGCTAAGCAATTTTTTTTTTTTTTTTTGAGCTCCAAACTACTCACTGCCAGATGAATTAATGAAAACACACACTTGCACTACTTACAACATTTTTTCATTTATATTTCTTGATACACCAAAACTGTTTCTTTTCATTATTTCTTTTTAAGGAATTCTATTCCCAGGTTTGCAAGTAAAGACACAAATTATAGAGAGCCAGGGGGAGGGGAGGAACAGAAAGAAGCTAAGTGTAATTATCAAATTCTTTGGTGGATTGCAGGAAAGAGGTACCTAGAGACTTGCACATGCTCTGGGACTTACTGTAGCAAAGACAGCACGTCTAGCTCAGCATAAAGATGGGAGGCACTAGGTGACCTGAAGGTGCCTTGCTCTTAACTGGTTTATCTATTTATAACTACTTGTCATAACATTACCTGTGAGAACACAAGTCAACACAGAGTTATTTCAGCAGTCAAATAACCATACACAGCCTTTTTTTATTTACACCTTATGCACAGCAATGCTCTTTCTGTTTTCACTCACAGTTCATTATAGCGCTGAAACCTGGCATCTGGCATGGCCTCCCAGCCTGAAACGCCACCCAACTTACCTATGGTTTGGTAATTTTTAGAAGTCGTGATCTGAGAGAAATAACGACCAGCCATACAATGTAACCAAGCGTTCTGTCAATGGTAAAACCAAACTGCGTATCAGCTATTTCCAAGGGTGCAATTGCAGCAGGGATAACAGGAAGGGGAGGGGAATCTGTTTCACCCCCAAGTGGAGAAGAAAATGCATCTCTGCCATCTCCAACTTTCTGCCAGCTGAAAGAGGGGAGGAGGGATGGGGGAGACCGCAGCATGTCAAGCAGCAACTCTGAGGCAGCTCTTTTCCCTTTACAGCTGGCAGTGATCTGACAGGCTCAGCATCAAAGAATGTTACACAGTTGGGTCATTTTGTGTGCTACTGCTGGGACATGAGGGAGGCTGCAGTATTGCTGGCTACAGATCCTTCCTCACACTCCCCCCCTTCCCAAAGAGGGGAAGTCTGGTGTTTGGTGCAGAGAATTAGCAGAAAGAACTTTCTTTTCCTTTGTTTTTGAGACCAAGTAACCTCTGGTGTAGTTTGCTGTTGACAGAACCCATACGGAAAGAAAAGGTCAGGGAAGGAGGGAAAACCACAGGCCTAGTAGGAAAGAAACAGGATAGTTTCATCATGTGCAGGATGAACTGAAGGTGACAGCTGAAATCTCAAGGGAACCATGAGGAAGAGGTGGCAGAGAGGAAGGTGCAGCAGTGGAGAAAGGGGACAGGAAGGTCAGTTAGCGAACTGCAGGAGGTTCATCCCAATAACAGGCAGAAGGAGGTGAATGTGGGGAGCTGGAGATGTGTTGATAGAATGCGTCAGGCGCTACGTCCATTGAGAGTCACAAACGGCAACCCAGAGGCAACAGGGGACCTCACAAGACTGAGAAAAAGTGGACAACGCAGGTGCAAGTTTCCTTGCACTTTTGAGGCACAAACCCACCAGAGGAAGAAGGCAAAGAGCGAGACAAGGAGAGAGTTGTAAAACGCCAAGGGCAGCGTCTCCAGAAGGGACGCCAGAAGAACCTGGCGAGGAGGGGCAGAGCAGGAGCCTTGTGGGGATGCGGCACGACGCTCTGCAGGGCGAGAGGGCGGCGCTCTGGGAGAGGGGAGACTTCGAGGGGCTGAACAGCGAAAGGCAGCCGGCACCGGGCTCTCACCCAGGTGAGAGGTGCGGGGCAGGGGGAGCCGGCCAGCGGGGCAGGACCGGGGGAGGCCGGCAAGGTGCGAAGGCGCGGACACCTGGCCAGGGCAGGGACGGGCGGCGGCGCCCGAGGAGCCCGGGGCGCTGGCGGGGGAGGAGGGTGAGAGCGGCCCCTTCCCTCCCTGCTGCCCCCGCCGCTGGCCGGGCCAGGCCGTGCCAGGCCGCCTCTCACCTGTGTCGAGGTTGAAGGAGATGCGGGCCTCGGCGAGGTAGGGGGTGTCGCTCTTGGAGCGGACGCGGCGGATGGGTCTGCGGTCGATGTCCTCCTCGGAAGATGCCGCCATTAATGTGGGCACGGTGAGCAGCGTGGCCCGGCGAGCTGGCGAGGGCGAGCGGCGGCGCGGGGCGGCCGGGCGAGGAGGGGGCGGAGGGGGAGACCGGGGAGGGGAGGAGGGAGAGAGGCGCGGGGAGGGGGAGGGGAGGACGGGGAAGGAGAGATGGAGAGAGGGAAAGGGAGAAAGGAGCGCGGGTAGGGAGGGGGAGAGACAGGGAAAACCCGTCAAGGATCTGCGGACGGGAGCGACCGAGGCGGCCCTGCCCGCTGCCCCCGCCGCGTCCCGCCCGCTTTCGCTCCGGGCGGACGGAGCGGTGACCCCTATCCCCGGCCCCACCTGCCCCCCCCGGGCACGGTCCCGGCGGAGGGGATTTCCCGCCCCCAGGGGAGGGTCCCGGCGGAGGTGGTTCCCTCCCACCCGCGCCAAGCAGGTGCCACACGCCGCCAGTGGGCCTGGCTGGCCGAGGTGCCACCACGCAGCGAGCCTGGCACCCCGGATTGGTCCTGCAAACCTAGGGCATCCCAAAACTCACAGCACAGCTGGATCAAGACTTGGTGCGATGTCTAATGGTGCATCCCTTCACCTCCTTCTCCTCTTCTCTTGGGCAACCCCGTGATGTAAAGCGGAATAGTGTACCATGCCTTGGCAGTTTAAAATGCCAAGTAGACTGAGGAGCCCACACTCAGCGTTTAGAAGTGACCATCAGTTAAAGCCTAGGACTCATATTCCAGCAGGTCTTTGAGAAAAATTAGCAAAAATTACTCTGGTCTTCATCTGCAAACTGGGGACAATGTTTTGTGGCATCTCTCTTTCTCTCTTTAGTAATCAGCTCTTTATGTTGATGGTCTTGCCCTGTGGTTTGTAGGCTACCTGCCACGTTAGGGCTCCAGTTTCAGTTGGGACCGCTAGATGTTTGTGTAATGTAAATAATTAAAAATGCTATTTCAAAATAAAATATAGGGATAGCACAAAAGGACTACATAAAGTGATAGCTAGACAGTTAAAATACATATAGAATAGGCTGAGTCAGAAGGGACCCATCTGGATCATAGAGTCCAACTCCTGGCCCTGTGCAGGACACCCCAAGAGTCACACCACGTGCCTTAGAGCATTGTCCAAATGTTTCTTGAACTCAGACAGGCTTGGTGTTGTTACCACTTCCCTGGGGAGCCTGTTCCAGTGCCCAGCCACCCTTTGGGTGAAGAACCTTTTCCTGATACATGCATGGGAGTGTAATAGCTCACCCCATTTAATTCAGTACTTTTTAAAATAAACCAGCCTGCTTAAAGTCACTAAGTTGTCATTACTTCCAAAATCTTTTGGTTTTGTCAACTTCAATGAGAAAAAAAGATCAGGGAAAGAATACCAGGCCTCAGTAATTCTGAAGGCAGCAATAGTAACATTAGGTGGTCTGCATTTTGAGAGGCAGCTCTCTTACTCATTTCTGCAGAACCAGGAGCTTTCTGTCACACTTTTGTCAGTTAATCCTATAGAGGTTTTGGGGCCTGCTGGATGTTCTTCCATGGTTGTAATATTAGCTAAGTCTGCTGTTAGCTCTAATCCCTTCGTAAATGTTCTCAAGATGTTTCTGAGTGCCTAGAGTGGGTAAGATATATTTGGTTTGCAAAACCATTTTATTTTGCTCTGATCTCACTGACTTACCGTGACTAAAACAGGGGAAAAAATTTAGTTAGTACTTGCAGGAGAATTTTGAAAAGGATCCCTGTTCATACATATGCAGGTGCTTGTATATAGGCAGCCATGACATCTTTGGATGTCTGCTGAACCACCACATCACTTGTGAACCATCTGGTCCCTCTGCATCTCAAAAAAAAAAAAAAAAAGTCTTTAATTAATATCATATGATGTTTGGGGAAGGTGTGGTCTTACCATTATCAAGGTTGAAGCAGATCCTAGCTTCTTCCAAGTAAGGGGTGTCACTCTTAGACCGAAGTCTTCTGATGGGTCTCCGGTCTATGTCATCCTCAGAGGTTGCTGTCACTAGAGTGGGCACGGTGAGAAGAGTTGCCCGACGAGCTGGTAAGAAAGTACAAATGAAGAGGAGAATATCAGGAAAAAGGAGAAATGAAAAGGGGGAATAAGAGGGAGAAAAAGAAAAAAAAAATTAAAAAAGAGAAGAAAAGAGAAAGACAATCACTCAATGGAACAGAGGATCTGTAGCAGGTAGTAGAACAGGCTGTTTGCTGTGACGTCCTTTCCTCACATGCTGCAGAATGTAAGGGCTGCACTGAATAATGCCAAGAAAAGGTTGCTGTCTTCTGCATCCCAAAGGCACAGGTTGCTGCCCCAGATTGCATGTTCAAAGTTCCTATTTTTGTGGCTTAAATCACTCTTTTCTCAACTTCTCAACAGCTGCAATCTCTCTTTTCCTGAATGCTGTTTTTGAGGCTGTGATGCCTTAGTAGTGGAAGTATCTAAGTGGTTGCTTAATTTGTAGAAATCAGTGGAAGATGTGCTTGGAACACATGATATGATGCCTACAGCAACTATTCCAAAACTCAGTTTCATGTTGTCTTTACTTGGGCACTCAAAATAAACAGCTACTTTTTGGTCTTGATCATTTTGTCTTATTTTCTTAGTTGTGAAACAGGGAGAATCATTCTTTTCTTTCAGTAGGAATTTCAAGAAGATATAAATCCATTAATATTGTAAAGTATTCATATACTTTAGTGGAGCACCGATGAAAAGCTCATAAGGAAATTAAGATTTCTCTCTTCTGAACGTGATTTAAATAGCTTGGGGCCATGCATTCAAGGAGGAGAAAGCAAAATATTTAATACTGGCTCATTAAGTGAGCACTGCCCACTCCATGTACTGATGAAGCAAATGGTGGGATAGTAGAAAATTACTGTGTCATCATGCAGTGAGAAGCCATACTATAATACATATGTATTAGGAGACTGAATTAAAGTTGCAAAGACAATCTTCATTTGGGCATTGCCTAAGTATTTAGCACTGGACCTTACAGCCTTGATAATGTCCCTTTAATGTAGGAGTTTTTTATGTGAAATGTAATTATGAGTGGCTGTTGAATGCTTTGGGCACTGAGCCTGTAAATTACAAATCACAAGCAGAAGAGCCTCTATAAATACACCCGCCTCAACTGCCTCTCTGAGTAGATAAAGACTATCACAAATGCTAGATGGGATCTGGCTGATCACTGAAAGCATGAGCACCACGCACAAGTACTTTCTCTGTGTGTTTCTTTCCCCTCTGCCTCATACATAACTGGAAAGAGAATTTCAGCTGGAAAGCACATCTGTGCCCTTAGTGTAGGATTACTAACATTAACTTTCATGTGGGACCCTGTATGAGCCTGGGAGCCTAAACCCTGCATGTTTCTTGCTGCTTGGACGTTATCTGGCATAACAGTCTTTATCTCAGAGCTTTCGTAGAGCACCACACTTCAAATAACTAAAAATGAACTATATTTTCCCACTGGGATTGGAGAGCATGACTGATAGTGACTAAGTGCATATTCTGCAACCTACTAACT